TCAGGAATCTTATAGTTTAGCTTTGAAATAAACATTTAAATGTTACAGAAAGAAGTTCATAACATTATGCAAGGTGAAAAATAATAACACTTACAGTGAAGAATTTGCCTCATTTGACTTTTACTATGCAAATGGATCTCAGAGGCCATGTGTAGACTGACTTAGAGTTGGACAGGTTAAAGAAGAGAAGTCTTTGGGGCAGAGCAAATTAATAGCATGTGAAAAAGCAGGAGTGTGGTACATTTAAGGAACAGAAATTAAACCAGATGAGTGGAAAGGAGAGAAGCAAGAATGGAGGCTAGAAATATAAACAAGGACAAAATTGATCAGGGCCTTGTGGAGCCTTTAAGAATTTTGTATTTTATCCTAACAGTAATGAGAACCTTTGAAGTGTATTAAGCAAATGAATGAATATTAGAATTGCTTAGAATGGTCACCTCTTCACATATTCCTTTCTTCAAAATCTAATTTGAATTTGTTTCCTCTGAGACTCCTTGCAGTGCTTCCTGGCTGAAATTAATTTAGTTTTGCTATTTATGTGCCGTAATCTTTTACACAGTCTTTGTTAGAATACTTACTTCAGGGACCAGCAGTTAGGGTAATGCCTATGTCACTGGACTCCCATGTAGTCGACTGCAGTTCCAGTCCTGGACCCGGCGGCTTAAACTCCCTCTGGGTGCGTCTGTGTGTGCCCAAGATCCTGAGAGGAGAATGGAGGAGAAGGGATTGCAGCATGGCCATCCCCCCGGGGGGGGGGGGGATTTCTCGCTTTCTATCTCTCTGTCTTTCTCTGTCTGTCTGTCTGGCGAGCGCACGCGCCTATAGCAAAACACAAACAAACAAACAAACAAACCTCTCAAAAAAAAAAATATCAGACATATTAGGTTGTTGGCAAAGTCATGATGTATTTTTTCTACGTAAAAATGTGTCATGAATTTTTTGACCACCCAATATTTAATAGTGTACAACATGTTTTGAAACTTATAGATATTGTGGAATGGCTAAATCAAGCTAATTAACGTATGCATTACTTCACATTTAATAGATCTTTGTTGGTGAGAACTCTTAAAATCAACTATTTAGGATTTTCAAGTACACAATACATTGTTGTAAACTATCACCACCACATTGTACAACAGATCTTTTGAACTTATTCCTCCTGTCTAGCTGAGCTTTTGGATTTTAGGAGCAACATCCTTTCACCCCTACCTTAGTCCCCGATAATCACCATTATACTCTCTGCTTCTATTAATTAGACTTTTTAAGATTTTACATATAAGTGAGAGCACATGTTATTTTGATGGGATACTTAATTAAAGAAACCCAACATTATGATAATAAATAGGAATACGAATTTCTAAAATAATTCAAACTAAATATAAACTTAAAGTTTTCATGATATCCAAAAGTGGAAACTGAGGTAGAAAAGCAGAAGATCTGGAAAAGCACTTCACTACTTATGCATTTTTCTTAAAGAGAAATTGACCCTCTCTATTTGGAATACTGTGCCAAGAAACTTTGAAATGACAAAATATTCAACAGGGTCACAAGATAAAGGGAGAGACAGGCATATTCATAAATTGTTCTGTTACAAAGTCTAATGAAGTATTCTTTTTTCTTTCTTTCTTTTTCTGGAGAGGTATTTGCTACAGAGCACATGCGCTCGCCAGAAAGCCAGAGAGAGACAGAGAGACAGAAAGCAAGAAATCACCCCCCAGGTCCTCCATTCTCCTCTCGGGATCTTGGGCATGCACGCACACGTGCCCCACATGAGTTTTAAGCCACCAGGTCCAGGATGCGAACCGCAGTCAACTACGTGGGAGTCCAGCGACATAGCCATTACGCTAACTGCTCCTAGCCCTTACGCTTACTGGTTGTCCCTGATTTTTTTTTTTTTTTTTTTTTTTTTTTAGAGAAAGTGTTTTTTGTTTGTTTGTTTTTGATTTTGGTTTTGTTTTACTATTGAGCATGTGCGCTTGCCAGAGAGACAGAGAGGGATAGAGAGACAGAAAGTGAGAAATCAACCCCCAGGAGGGATGACCATATTGCAATCCCTTCTACTCCATTATCCTCTTAGGATTTTGGGCATGCGCACACATGCCCAGCGTGAATTATAATCCACCTGGTCCAGGACTTAAACTGTGGTCGACCACATGGGAGTCCAGCTAAGTAACCAATATGCCATCTGCTAGTCCATAATATATATGAATTTATTTGTTAATTTAAAATAAGTAATAGTAAGTGACACCAAGTTTTCAAAACTAAGTATGAAAAAATAATGTAAAATTTCTCAGTAATTTTTATATTAATTAGATGTTAAAATGATAGCATTTTGGGCACATTTGTCTTAGGTAAAATATATTAATAAAATATATTATTTCAATCTCATAATTCATGTTATAAAGAACACTAAGTTACTCTAAGCCATGCAAGTTTAATGAAGAAAATAAAAGGATAGTGGGAGGAAGGAATGAAGGAAAAATTGTGTTTTGATTTACTTAATAACCCCTAAACAAGAAATTACATGTAATTTTAGTATAAGAGCCATAAAGATCTGCCTACAAATTTGAATAAGTTATTGTTCTGGCCAATTAGTCAACAAAATGAACATACTATTTTAATCAGATTTTCATCAACCTCATTTTTAAAAAAAATTGAAAGTGGCTGATATGCTGCCTTAGTTGCCTATATTCTCATCTCTTATATCTTTAATTTTGAATAACTTAAATCTTCATCTTTTATACATCAACTTCCCTAGAACATCTTTCATGCCTTAAATTCAAATTTGCTTATATTAATGATGGATTTTTTTTTTTAAGAGATTTTTGCTATAGGGCATGCATTCACCAGAAAGGCAGAGGAAGATAGAGAGACAGAAAGTGAGAAATCACCCCCCTCAGGGGTGTGAGTTATGTTGGGTGCATGTGCATGTGTGTGCCCAAGATCCCAAGAGGAGAATGGAGGAGAAGGGATTGCAGCGTGACCATCCCCCCTGGGGAGTGATTTCTCGCTTTCTGTCTCTATGTCTCTATGTCTCTCTCTGTCT